GGGGGGTGGCTTTTTTTTTAATTATTTGTAGCTTTATTTTTAAGAGTGAAGCGTGGGATATAAATTTGTGTAAGTATACAAACTATCAGCAATATTTTAAAATAAATGATCTTGCAAGAAACCTTAATGTGAATTGTGGAAGCAATCAACAAGACTTGCAGCCTATCTGAAAATGTTTTGTGCCATTGTTATGTCTGGTATATTGGTGTACCATCAAAGCTGGGAATATTTATTTTTATTGGTTGTACAATACTATACCCAACACTTTCATTTCTGGGGATATGAAACCATAAAAAATATCAGACTACAACGAAGATGGTGCTATTTTTTCCAATAGACTATAAGCCTTTGAAAGCTTATCTGGCTCTTATTATCTTGATAACAACATAGTCCTATGAGTTTCATTGTGGTTTTTTTTCTATGGGATGATAAATATAACCATCCAACTAGCCTATTTTACAGCATTATGCGTCTTGCCACTGAGCTAAATATACTAGGAAAAAGCCAACTAGTCTGTACATCAGTGAGGTGGATCTTAGTAAATACTTAAATGCATTTTATACGAAGGCTTGACTGTACAGAAAAATCAGGTTTCTGTATTTCCTCAGGTAAGAACCCCAGTTTCAATGTTTCATTGGAAATATTCATGCAACCTACACTTTAGTCTGCCTAAAGCTGATAACAGGGCAAAAAATTGTCCCGTACACTACACTATGGGTTTGTGATTGATTTATATATGAATTCAAGCTCGGTCCCATGTTTGATCACCCTTACGGCTTATTGGAAAACCTTGCAAAGGCACAGTAACTTGTCCAGAATCTAGTGGTAGGGTAGGAACTAAATGTCCAGTTCTATGAACACTTACACTGGTAGCTTTACTAGTGCCCTGGGTGGTTCCAGAGAAACCAGCAGGATCATTCATGTGAACGGTTAGGTGTGGCTGAAGGAAGGAGCCCTGATTTTTGAGTACTGATGTTCGAGTATTTTTTATTATTATTATTATTA